TTTCTACGTTTATTGCATGCTCGCCAGAAATTCTTCAGCCATTGCCAAAAGTTACTCAAGGTAAAAGACGTAAAAGCCGCAATAGAGGAAAAACTGCAATTTTAACTTCATCGCCATACAAGGCTTTGCTGGAAGCTGCTAAAAAAACAAGTAAGTAAAATAAAGAAAAAAGTTAAATTAAATTAAAAAGACAATTTAAAAGTTTTTTACAAAACAATTTAATTTAAAATTTTAGCACCTAATGCAGAGAAGAAAAACATGCAGAAGAAAATATTAAAAACAAACAAATATGGACAGAAAAGACGAACATATAAAAAGGATAAATCTTGCGATACATCTTCGAAAGAAAATGATACTCAGTGCCTTTATTGTAATGAATTGTATTCAACGTCAAATGAAGGATGGATAAGATGTTCTTCCTGTTTAAATTGGGCTCACAATTCATGTGCTGGAGTCGATGACAAGGAGGATATTATATATTTTTGCACCTACTGCTCTTAAAATGTTTTTTTTATTTGATAATAAGTGCTATGAATAAATAATATAATTATTATTAAAATCCAATACTACATTAGTATATTTATTGCGTATTTAAAAAAAATCATTTTTAATAAGTTTTAAACATTAATGTATAAGAAATATATAAGTTTCGTGAGGAGTCCCATTATGCCCCGCATAAAATGATAATCAGATTTAGTCATGGTCTCAATAAAATAAAAATTTCGTCCTTTTAAACTATTCTTTCACAGTAAAACTTATATTTTTTTTCTTATAGTAGACATTTCAAAGAATATTTTCGTAAAAAAATAATTCATTTATGTATTTTCATTTTGCTTAAAATTAATTTTAACCTTAGCGTTCCCGTTATGCCCCGGGTTCCCCTACAACATTGTAAAAGAGAAAATTACATTATCTAGTAATATTCGCTAGAAAATTATTTAAACATTCGTTTGTACAAGATTGCTCCGTTTACGTCAAATAATCATTACGATTGCATTGTCGTAAAAATAAACTTTGCATTATTTTATAAATAAAATATATCTCGTTTAGATTCGATTTGAAATGTTGCCCGATGGAACCAAATTAATCTTGTAGAGGCTTTCCACCACCCCCGCCGATTTCAATCGAAAGATTAATTCACAATTTCGATCTCGGAACAAAATCAATTTTCTCAGAATTTATCAATAATGTCTCATAAACTAATGATCCGAGATAAGCGATTCTCATCTCGTTAGAAGCGCTGAAATCTTAGCTTTCCAACGAGACCAGGATCATCTTGCTACGATTTTTCTGTGCGGAGATAATGACGATTATATCGACTCGCGATCTCGATCTCGGGACAAAATCAATTTTATTTTTGTAATTAATTAATGAAATCTCGTAAACTAATGATCCGAGATAAGCCATCCTTATCTCGTTAGAAGCGCTGAAATCTTAGCTTTCCAACGAGACCAGAATCATCTTCCTACGATTTTTCTGTGCGAAGTTATTGACGATTATATAGACTCGCGATCTTAATCCTCATTCAGAAGCAGCAGACGGCGCGTATATGCGGCGTCTCGCGTGGTGTCTGGCGCGGCGGTGTTTACTACCGAACACCTGTGCCTCGTATGTTTTTATTCCAGTTTTTTGGGGACGTAGTACGCCCGCGTACTATTCGCGTAAAATTCGCGCGGTCTTCTTTCATGAATGGTGCGCGCGCGCCGGATTTTTAAAACGCTATAACTCGGCGAAAAATCGACGTAGCGACACGAGCAAAAAACCAATCTTCTTCGTTTCGCATCCCGCAGCTGTCTAGGTTGAGACTCTGTTCGCTCGCATAACGAAAAATCAATAACTCTGTTTTTATTGACATTTCATGCACACAGCACGGAACACAACCAAATCGTGTACAGTTCATGTCCATGTTTTCAATGTCCACAGAGGGCGTATCACTGAGCCACTTTGAGTATATAGACATGGAGGAGGAATTGCCTATGTTTCCTATATGCCGAAAGTGTGTGCGAGAGAGAAATGTACGAGTTGATACTCGTCCTCTCTGCGCATGCGTTAAAATCGTTGTCTGCACCAAAGTTTCGACACTCTCTGCACTTAATGTCCGAACTGCTCTTTGAGTATGTCTATATACTCAAAGGTGCTACCTGCTATAGCATATATCAATTTCGACGCATGCGCAGAGAGGACGAGTAGCAACTCGTATACCTTTCTCTCTCGCACATACTTTGGACACATTTGCGGTGCTGCCATTCCTCCTCCATGTCTATTTAAAGCTGAGTCATGACAGCTCTCAGGCTTATCTCTGTCAGCAGAAATGGATGTAAAGGTTAGGCGATATCAGAAAACACATGTATAACATACACGCACGGTATACAAAATACAAACGACTCGAAAAGTAAATAATGACTGTCGCGTTCGTCGCATAACGTAAGTGTCAATTGAGGTGTTAAATTTATTTTATGTCCGTGAAGTTATCATTACATTTTATTTTAACACACGTTAGAGTTGGTTATTATGAAAGTGATAAGTTGGAAAAATGCTTATAAATTTAAATTATTCCCACGTGATGTGTTTCTCGCCCTTCTTGCATGCCAAATCGGTAATGTTCATTACATATTTACACTCTGGCTCCAGATAAATTTATAAATTGCATCAGTCTAACTTGTATCGTTCTGTGTGCAATAAAACTGACGTAGATATGTTTATTTTATAAATAGCTATACAGTATAATTGTATGAAATGTTTTATATCTTCTTATGTGTAACTCATTTTAATTGCAATGATTTATTTCAGTTTCTTAAGTATTATTCTTATTAAACGTACACAAGATAACATTATAAATTTTAAGTATCTTGTAGCATAAGAGCGTTCCTTTATGAGAAAAGGAGATATTTATTATGCTTAATATTATATTAATTTCAGAAGATCATAAATTTTTGGAATCCTGCAAATCAAATTATTTGACGTTATGTGGAACGAAGATCTGAATACTATTATTCTGCCTACATTGTCTGCTATGATTTTCTTTTTATTCACGATAAATTTCTTCCGATACCTCATGGGTAGTCCTCATATCCAGATTAGAGATGTCACAAAAGAACATAACTGGAAGTCAATTAGCGGAACAACCAAGGTATTGTGATGAGAATTTTCAAGTTCTAATAGACCATCTTTTACGATTTTTTTAAATAAAATAAAAGTATTCAATATTTCGGACCATATCGTCTTTTGAAATGTGTATTTTCCTTTCTTTAAATTTGCACGAAACAATTGGAAAAAGATATCGATAAAATACTGACAGTTGTTTATGTGCACTATCCTGTATCATGAAGATTAAATTTATCTACATCGAATATTAAGAATAATAATAGCAGTAGCAAAAATAACAATTTATTTCAGCTTACGAAAAAAAGGTTAATTAAATTAATCAAATGTACACAATTTTTCTTTATATACAGGCGTATTACTGTAGTATTTGTGAAGCTTTATTATTGCACCTTGATGCCCTTTTCTGTGATTCTTGTGGCGTGTGCGCGGATCGAGGCTGTATAAAGCTTGCTGATAAACAGCTAAAATGCAAGGCTGTAACTCTCAATACCGATCAATTGATGAAGCATCATTGGATTAAAGGTATATTACCAGTTTATAATTACCCTGTACAGTGATTGACAGAATAGTTGCGACACTTTTTATTGCATTTAGATTGAGGGCTACGTTTCAAAATCTTCTCCGAGGAATATTTTACTCGCTGGCCATTCCGAAATCATTTTGAGCGTTTTCAATCTATTTCTCGAGTTCTTCATTAAAAAAAAAACAAGTGTTGCAACCATTCTGTCCATCACTGTAAATTGTCTCTTCAGTGTGTCACTCATTAAACATCTTTTATTATATTTAAAGGTAACTTACCACTTGTTGCTACGTGCTACATTTGTGAAGAAGAGTGCGACGTAGAGCCGGGTCTCACAGATTGGTGGTGTTGCTGGTGTCAGAGATGTGTTCATAAAACATGTAAATCTTCTCTCTCTGAAGTAATAATTAATGATATTTCGCTTTTTTGATAATCTCATTTTATAATTTTTCTTGCCGTGAAGAATCTGACTCGCCAAAATTTTTCGCAGAGTATATAAACAATCGTGTGTTTTGTCATTTAATAATAAGAGAAAATGGCTCGTGTGACTACAAAGTCAAACAAAATAAGAAACTCGGAGCCAAGACTAAATTACCAATCAATAATTTATTAAAAAGGTGTTCAAACGTTTGGATCGCGAATTGGACAATCTTCAGTGAATAAAAACAGTCGATTAGAACTGGTAAAAAGAAAATACGAAGGAATAGCGCAATTCACAGAAGAGGTAAAATAATAGAACGCGCCATATGATTGTGAACCGAACATAAGAGTATAAACGACTCATAAATTTCAGAAATTAATGAAAAAGACGTGTTGAGCAAATTTAGTTGGTACATAGACGAAAGTTACAAAGAATTCTTCCTCCTTTCTACTTTCCTTTCCCCTTCCCCTATTGTTTTTCTTCCCACTCCTTACTTATTTTGCTGACATTGTGTTACATTTGACATTTGCGTAATCGTTTTCATTCCGTTAAAATCGTCACGTCATGTCACGTTACACGCCATTTTCTGCTTATTTCTCATCACGTATGTACCCCAATTTTTGGTTTCTTCATTTCTTAAATCTCACTTCAGAATTTAATCCTTTCTTTATAGCTTTCCTCTATATACTAAATTTGCTCCACATATCCTTTTCATTACTTTGTGAAATTTACGCTTGCGTCGTTTATATTCTTATGTTCGACTCAATGCTCATTTCATGCATTGTGTTATTTTATTAACTATTCTGCGAATTGAGCTATTTCTTCATGTTTTCTTTTTACTAGTTTTAATTAATCGCCTTTTTTGTATTCACTAAGGATGGTCCAATTCGCGATCGAAACGTTTCAACATATGTTTAATCAATTATTGACACGGTAATCTAGTCTTGGCTTTGAACCTCTTATTTTGTTTCATTATTTAATAATAAGTTACCAATTTTTTAATAAAATTATGCATTATAACTCTTCATAAGAAGAACAGTATTCTTTAAAATGCAGTAATGTTTAATTGCTTTGTATGCTTCTTTGGATGCTATTTACTTCATCGTGAGAAACAAATTGTGAAAAAAGTATGTGTATTACCTTTTCAGATATGTGATTTCGGAAAATTCAAATTAATGATCATTCCACCAGGAAGCTTAGAAATAATAAATCGACGTAGTACGATGAGACGTAGAATACATCTTCGTTCTATTGTACCACCAAACTGGCCTAATTGGAATCCGATCATTGTTGTGGGTAAGAGAATAGAAAGCAGTAATAAATATTATTAAAATTACGTATAAAACATGACATCTAGATATATATCTTTCTCTCGCGATTCCTTTTGTCGTAGGAAATAGAAAATCGGGAAACAATGATGGAGGTCAAATTTTGTCTCTGTTCAGAAGATTGTTAAATCCTGCGCAAATCGTAGATTTAGCAGAACGTGATCCAGTCGCTGCCCTCGAGTGGTGCCGTTTGCTAGGGAAAACCCCGTCAACTATACTTGTAGCTGGTGGCGATGGAACCGTGGCTTGGTTATTAAACACCATCAACAAACTTAAGTTGGAGGTGAGTCTCTTTTAATACGAAACTTTCAGATGCACATCAGCACGAATACAAACATGTATTTTTATATGGCACAGCCTGTTCCATCTGTAGCAATAATTCCTTTGGGGACAGGCAACGATTTATCCAGGGTATTAGGATGGGGTAAGCAACACGATTCGCCTTTGGATCCCATGGAACTGTTACGGAAGATTCAAGCAGCGGAGAAAGTAAAGCTTGACAGGTACATGATATATGAAAAAGTACTTAAATCTTTAAATTACCGATTGTTCCGGTATTTCGGATCTACATACAGCTTGTAACTTAGGTGGTCTATAACGGTAAAACCATACGGCGGACTAGGATTTAGAGGATCGCATCGTTCCTTATTTATGTACAATTATATAAGCGTAGGCGTGGATGCACAGGTGACTTTGGATTTTCATCGCACAAGAGAGAGTCGATTTTATCTGTTCAGTCATAGAATATTTAACAAGGTATGTCAAGTGAACAAATTTATACGAGTTGAATATAATATACACATTTTGTTTTGTTATCTATGTTGGTAGCTGCTGTACCTGTGCTTTGGCACGCAACAAGTCGTGGAAAGGGAGTGCAAAGATCTCGATAAAAATTTAGAAGTTTATTTAGACGACAAGAAGATAGAACTGCCTTCTGTTGAGAGCGTAGTGATACTTAACATTCCATCTTGGGCTGCTGGTGTCGATCTATGGAAAATGGGAATGGAAGGTCTCAATATTCTTAATAATAATTGATTTAAATTTAATAATACTGACTATCCACGCTACTCGACAGATGATGACAGTTCAGAAATGCAAAGTATTAACGATGGCAAATTGGAAGTAGTAGCACTTTATTCTTCATTCCACATGGCTCAGCTTCAAGTGGGTCTCTCCAAACCGCACAGGATTGGCCAAGCCAATACTGTAAAGGTATTTGTTTCAATAATTTTAGAGACTTTTCTTGCGTCTACAATTATTCACGACAAATATCGTTACTGTTTAGATAAAATTATCGCAGTCATGCGCTATGCAAGTCGATGGTGAGCCCTGGTATCAACATCCATGCGAATTCAACATAACATACTGCAATCAGGTTTCTATGTTAATGAGTAGCGACTTCTAAATGTTATATATACCGCGTGACCTTATAGGCATTTGCACAAATGCATTTATTTACACGTTAATATGCAAGAGAGTATACCAGCTAATATTTGCCAAGTCTGTTAACAACTTTAGGTCCTTGATAACGGTAATTAAAATATTGGAGTGTTTAAGAAAGAGAAATGATAAACTCTAGTCAATGTTCCACGCAAGAAAATGTTACATCTTTTATGAATTATTGCTGTTTCGTAATTTTATTGATGCCGTATTTATAATGAAAATGTACAAACAAAAATAATACATTAATAAAGATATTTTAATGTTTACGAAAATCTTTGACTTTTATAATCATGCGCAATACACTAATAACTAATTTCGGATAATTTATTATTCATTTGTTGCCAAACTTCAACCAAAATTATAATTTGTAATTACATTATTTTCACATAATAGAAAAGACTAATGTAAACGGAAGATTCCAGCAATTCCTTTTTGATGATAAAAGGGGACAGAAAATTCATTTTATTAAATTATGACAGAACGCCAAATGTATTTTTTATTGATCTTGACGGCCTTTTGGATTTTGCACGAGATGGCTAGAACGATGAAGGATGTTGATTAAGATCTATTAAAAATTAGAAAAATTAATTATGGTAAAAACATCATGTTTAATTGCATAAAATATTATGCATTAAAACTTTACATCCGAAAAGAGACAGATCATTCGTGAGTACATATTAAAATCACGAAAAATAATTTACTAAAGAACACTTATTATACACACACATCTATAATTTGTGGAAATAATACGGAATAATATAGAACTGTATATGTACAATAAATTACAAACTACTATGTTAATATTTGTTATACAATTTTTAACATAATAATTATTAAATCCGTTTTCTTCTTTTTTAAAATATCAGAAGGATTCCTTTTTAAAGCAGAATCCGAATTGGTCGCATTTGTATCGAAGAATCTTGGCGAGTTGTGGCGGCCCGCAATAAAAAACTGTGATTTTTCCTTTCTTCTTATCCTGGAGCTGCTTGAATACCTTGTCCCAATTGGGACGACCCGCATTCGTTCTGGTTTTCAAACCCGTGATGAGATCTCGTTTTTCCTAATCAACGAAAAGTAACGACAGCAAAATTAATATATCAAACATTTGCTTAAACTCTACTAGCGCAGACTTGAAAACTAGTCGCGTAGTTGAAAATATTTAAATAATCATATCTGATTATGAAGGTATTTCTGACCTTCTCGTGCAGAAGATCAAGCGCTAATTGCAAGCCCACTGCCTTCATGTCGCTCTTTTGCAATGCGCTCGTGATGTACATGTGCATCTCCAGAAAGTGTTCCATGGTAGTACCTAACTCAGCTTGTTCTATTTCAAGTTGAGACAGTAAATTTACGAACCATTCAAACGAACGTTGATTGCGGTTGATCCAAAAAAAGTCCACCTATAATATTTTTCGAAAAGTCTAAACATCAACATTATAGAAAATATACTACAGCAAATATTTTCTATAACTTTTCTATATTAAATTATGAAACTTACCTAAGTTGACTTGTTTTAATTATATGTATACCGATATAACATCACACTACTTAATATTCTTCTCTGCTATGAGCATCAGATTTTTAATACTAATATGAATATTATAGAGTATCGATAATTGCAAATCTATTTACCTTTCGTAAATTCATTACCGTAGGCGGAATTTCACTGGCCCAGGAAAACGAACATTTTGGACAGGTGTGTCTCGCTTTCCAGTATCGATGCATAATTGATTGTAATATAGAGGCGAAGGGTGTAACTCCGATACCTGTGGCGATCAAAACAGCATGCTGCGCTCGGAAAATGTGACTCGACGGTGCTCCATAAGGACCATCTAAAAATATCTATAATGATGGCACATTATTTATTCGAAACAATTTCATAATAATTGAAGGGAACTAGAGGATGTCGCGAGGCTCATAATTAAAACTGTGGGAGATTTACCTCCAGTGGTTTTCCCACAGGATAATTTATAGGTGGTTGAGAAGAACTGTCGGATTTCAAATCTAAACTGTCCGAACTGCCTATAGCTTCGCTAAACCCTTGTCTCAATCTTCCTTCCTCCGCCGCAATTTGCAATGCTATCGGTGTAATCGGCGTTATTTCATTTTCCTCCGCATTTACGTTCGATACTGTAAACGTACGCGTGATAAATTTGCATCTTTTAATCACTTTTCACATAATCTTCTATTCTACCTTTTACTCCGTAACTTACCAACGTTGGACGATGCGCCGATCTCATAGTCGCCTGTTACGAAACTGGGCGTTTTGAAAGCGATGATGGTCGGTTTCGTCCGCATGTACCGGAAGCTTTGAGCTAACGATTTGTTCTGCGGACTCAAGTAAGCTAAACCCAATGACTTGAATCGTGCACATTTCATCTGACACTCGTCAAAACTCCTCTCCGATTCAGATCTCATGTAATCTCGAAGTCTACGAAAAGGAAACATCATGTGTTATATGTATACATAAAATATTGTATTACGAAGATGACCTGTAATTGTTATATCACACACACTATTATATCATTAATAACATATTAATTACAAGATAAAACTCAAAAGAGACTAATTTTTTTGAAAACAAATAAGTGTTATTACGTAATGAATTTTTATAACTAATTTTCTCACGCTCTGAGACGCTCTTTCTTCTTGCTTTTGATCTGCATGTCGGGCATCGAGCGTGATTTTTCAAGTGGCATTTTGCTACCAAAAAATAGTTGATGGAGTCTCCTGTCTCTTCTCGTAGACACATCTGCCCATTCCTTATTTAACTCAGGCGTATCTATTTGAGTGAATTTTGTATACATAAATAATAACGTCATTTTGCAATGAATACGAGCCACGATTTATTGTTCTTGTAATTTCTCACACTAAATACTATTTTTTAAATAATAATATATTTAATCTTACGTTCTGTAATTTTTAAATATGCAGACTGGTCATTAATAGATGCATGCGAAGGTGGCACGTTGTTCGATAAATCAGATACAAACGAGGGGTTGTCCAGACTGTGAGTTTGAGGCGTGGAATCTATTAAGGTTTTCTGTGCCATGATTAGTGGTGTCTTTTTGCCGCTGAGGAAACTACACAGAGAGATATATTCGTGTATAATGTGACGACTCCCCCCCCCCTCCCCCCGGTTAAGAGTGTCACGACTTAATTGTTAGAAACTGCAATATTACTTTGAAGTTTTAAACGAAATTATCATACTTTCTGTATGGTCTTTGCGTAATAATTTAATTGAATCACGGTAGACTTACGACTTTTTTCGGGGAGCGCAGACGGCATCACAGTTCTCGGCAGGCAAAATATCGGCGCAATGAAGCTTTATTTGTTCTTTCTCAAAGTACGAATACAAACTATTGGTCCACTCACCGACCGCACGAATGTGCAACCACATATAATCTGTAGGGGAAAAAAACGTTTTTAAATGCAATTGCACACTGAAAAAATTCTGATAGATTCAACCAGTCGTCTGTTAGAAAATGGACGAATCAGAATTCCTTTAGGATTTACCAGAATTCCTTTTGGATTTGCCGTGAAAGATATTTCATAACCAGAAGTTTGCTAGACTTCACTACACATCTGGTAAATCCTAAAGGAATTCTGATTCGTCCATTCTCTAACAGACGACTGGTTGAATCTGTCAGATTTTTTTTCAGTGCAATAATGAAGGACAACATCAACCAAAGGGCAACAACTTAGCAGCTTACCTTCTTGTTCGGGAGCACTGCTAATGGTAAAAGGGTGCCACTCGTATCTTGCTATCACTGGGATTTTAACGAATATATAGTCGCCCGGATGAAAGTGGAAATGGGGTGGTCTCTTGATGACCAAGTGAGTCACTTTCGAAGGTAAGAGAAGGCCGGAGCTTATATACGTTTTTCCACTCTGAGAACGTAACCACATCAATCGACGAATTTTTTCCACCAAGTATATGACGCCTGGGCCGACAAACCACTTCCAGAAGTTAGGGCCGTGGAAGATCATCAGAATCCAGAATGGTATGTATAGTAGATGAGACCAATAAAATATCTTGTGGCAAAGAATTATTCCAATTAAAAGGATAATGAAGATACCGCTCTCAGACTTGAGACAATCACGAAGGCGGTAATTCGTAATTTTTAAAATAAGTAGAATAATGTAAAAGGTATTCATACCTCGAAACAACCTCCGCGTCGTACGAACGGCAAGGAACCAACGGACATAATGACGAGAATAATAAGCAGAACTACCCCAGTCGGATATCCACTGCCTGCTACCAGACCGAAATATCCGGGTCGACTGGTTAACAACCATTCAGACATGGTGTAGTTTCCGCTATTCATTTTCTCGTCTTTTATTATTACCGTACCTACAGGTATACAATTAGATATCGTTAATTATCTATAATTTTAATTTACTAATAATATTAAATTAATATAATGAAAGTAACGATTTGACACAGATTTCATTAGAGCTTGGGCAAAAAGTTTTCAGCACTTTAAGTTATGCTAAAATAATGTAACCTTCTAATTAAATCGAAAAGCTATTATACCGCAGTAAATGAGATGCATCAGTGTGTGTACAATGCTGAAGATTCCGATCAATATTCCCGTCATTTTGTGAAAATATATGTGATGATCTAAGGGCACTAGGGAATTAAAACTATGCGTTCGCAAAAACGTAATACACTGGCGCAGCATCAAGACCAGGATGAACGTGCAGTCAAAGTTCAAACATTGACCTAAAATATTAAACAACAAATTCTTGCATTTCTACTCTCAAACATTAATTTGAGTTTTGATAATTAACATTTACTAAAATCGATTGCAAATTTGTTAACAGATTTTTAGCTGGAATAAAATTGCTAATAGTTAATAAAGCTTAAATATCGTATTTGTTATATATTCCTTACCACACGCACGCGCGAGCATTATATAGCCACTGTAATTTCGATATTTGTAGAGACGTGAAACGAAGAGGGCCACGTTGATGAGCATAAACATCGAAGTGAAAGCAATAAAGACGTAATTATTCTTCAAGTACGGCTTTGTGAGTTGATACGGACGAAGGGAGGAAATCGTCTTCAAAATAGATTTCGGCTTTGATTTCGGCTGCGGTGGTACCAACCATCGATCTATGCTGCGATTATTATATTCTTATTTTTTCAGTATTTGCTTTAAGAATGTAGAATTTAGTAATTCAGAATAACGTGACAATTGCAAGAGCAGCAAGTATTTTATTATAAATATTAACCGGCAATTGAGTAAATTTGTTTCTCGAATTCTTAGAATTCCATAATTATGCACTTGTACATTTTTTTGCATTTCATATAATTCTTGATCTAACCTGATCGAGAGATTTGCCAGCAAGCCCTCGTGCTTTTCTAACTGCTTTTTTAGAGCTTCGAAGGTGATCGCTCCTCTATTGCCTTGATCAGCATCCTCAAAGAGTGCAATTGTCAGATCTTCGATTTGCTCATCGCTGAACTTCATTCCATTTTCTTCCATGCAAGCTCTCATAACATGTTCTAGTTCACGAAGTTGTATTAATCCATCACCTATTATCATTTGAAAAAAAAACAATGTGAAACAACGAAGATGATTTACATTCAGACAAAAATATCAAAAACGCTTGAACATCTTAATTTTTTACAAATACTTTAGTCCTTTAAAAATCTTTTTGATATACTTTGGACAATTTGTACTTAAATCTTTAGTTATGTAATTAATTACTACTTATTAATTTGTTCTGTAATTTTAGAAAAGTATAAGTTCTTTCTTTTCGTAAATATTTTACGTGAATAAATATAGACATTA